AGGACCCCGCGGATTTGCTGCTTGCCAGGGAGGGCTTGGGAAGGACCCTGTGGTAAATGCCGGGAATTCCACTGTAAACCCTGGAGGAGGAGAGAGGCTCTGGGGTGCAGGGAAGGGCCAGGGTGGCTCGAGGTGGTGGATGTGACATGTAGCGGTGCGAAACCCCTGCGGGGCGGGTGCTGGGAGAGGGAACTGATGATCCCAGCACTGCCATGCCTGGCGTTCCCTGCCCTCCCGTGGCTCGAGGGAAGCTTCCAGGGACGGCCCTGCCCGCGGGAGGAGCCCCAGGCTCAGGGAATGCAGGATCCCGGATGGATCCGGCAGTGCCAGCACTCCTGTCCCCGCAGATGGTGAGCGTGTACCGGGCACACCAGCACTCCTGTTTCCTCTACCTGGGCAGTATCCTGGTGGATGAGTACGGCATGGAGGAGGGCTGTCGGCAGGGCCTGCTCGACATGCTGCAGGTGAGACCTGCCCACGCAGGGACTCACTGAGGCTGCAACAGCCCTTGGAGCACACAGAGTCCAACCCTTCCCAGCAGTGCCAAGGCCACCCCTGACCATGTCCCTGAGTGCCACATCCACATGGCTGTTAAATCCCTCCAGGGATGTGACTCCCCTTCTGTCCTGAGCAGCTGTGCCAGGGCTGGACAACCTTTCCAGGAGGGATTGTCCCTAATATCCAATCTATAGAACCTCAGACCTTAAAGCCCATCCAGTGCCACTCCCTGCCATGTTCAGGGACACCTTGCACCAGCCCGGGTGGCTCCAAGCCCCATCCAGCCTGGCCTGGAAAATGCTTCAGGGATGGGGTAGCCCTGTCCCCACACAGTTTGGGATGTGATGCCAGGAAGTTGCTGATGGATCCCTGTCCCTCCCCAGGCTCTCTGCATCCCAACCTTCCAACTCCTCGAGCAGCCCAACGGCCTCCAGAACCACCCGGACACCGTGGACGACCTCTTCCGCCTGGCAGCCAGGTGCCCCCACGCTGCTCCCCCTGCTCAGGGACACTGCAGCCCTCTGTCCCCATGAGGGTCCCACGTGGGTGGGAGCAGGCAGGACCTGCCCCTGACCCCTCTGTGCTGTCCTGGCAGGTTCATCCAGCGCAGCCCCGTGACCCTGCTGCGCAGCCAGGTGATGATCCCCATCCTGCAGTGGGCCATCGCTGCCACCACGCTGGACCACAGGGATGCCAACTGCAGTGTCATGAAGTTCCTGCGGGATCTCATCCACACTGGAGTGGCTAACGACGTGAGTGACCCCCAAGGGCGTTCCTCGGGGGGTTCTTCCTCTGTGGAGGTGTCATCATGGAATGGGTTGGGGGGGAAGGACCTTAATGACCACCCAGTGCCACCTCCTGTCATGGGCAGGGACACCTCACACTAGCCCAGAGGGGTCCAAGCCCCATCAGCCCCATCATTCTCACCAGCCTCATCCCATGGTCCCCCCAAACCACTGTGGTTCCTACAGAAGCTCTGGGAGTTCCTTCTGGAGCAAGGAGCATGTCCTGTCCCCAGGCCCTGCTCACCCCCTTGCCCTTCTCCCCCAGCACGAGGAGGACTTTGAGGTGCGGAAGGAGCTCATCAACCAGGTGATGACCCAGCTGGGGCAGCAACTGGTCAGCCAACTGCTGCACACCTGCTGCTTCTGCCTCCCGCCCTACACCCTGCCCGATGTGGCCGAGGTGCTCTGGGAGATCATGCAGATTGACCGCCCGGTGAGGACACTGCCCCAGGGGTGGAGTGGGACCAGAGGGGTGGGGTGGACAGGATGGACCCCCAAAGGGATGGACGCTAAAGGGATGAGCTGGAGCCCGAGAGGGAGAGGTTGGAGCCCCAGAGGGCCCGGTGGGATCCCCAAAGGGCTGGACTGGACCCCAGGGGATAGGCTGTAGCCCTGAGCCTCCCCAGTGGCCATGTGGGACCCCAAAGCCCTGGGGCAGGCCCTGGAGCCTGGTCTGGCTCCACATGCCATTCCCCTCCCTGTGTGTGACCATTCCCCTCCCTGGCACAGACCTTCTGCCGCT